TTTTTTTTTTTTTTTTTTTTCCCCCATGAGGCAACATGCCAATTAACACCATAATTTAAAAAAAACCAAAAAAAATCAAATCTTTTCTTTTCAGAAGAACTTTGTCCTTCCAGAGTCCACTGCATGTTTGCAAAATCCTAATGTTGGGTTTGTTTTTCTGCTGGTTTCCCCACACAATTTGGCTTCCCACCTCTCCAATCCCCCCCCACCCTCCAAAGCTCTGAAACACTTCAGAAGTTGCCAGTGCAAACACTTTCTATCAACGTATAATATACATTTTTTTTAACTTAAACCTTTGTGCAATTTATGAGTTTCCTTCAAAACTCACTAGGACAAAAAAAAAACCAACAAAAAAACCCCCAAAAAATCCAAAACAACAACTCCTTGGCACGACAGCTGAAAAACATTCAGCTCCTTTTAAACTGTCAAACACAAGGTGATAGAAAGTGTAAATCACAGTTGAATAAAATAAAAAAAAACCCCCAGAACTGCAGGTTTTATTAGCCAGCTTTACAGTCTCTTGTATACAGTACATTGCACAGCTCCACCTTCACGTTAACGCTTCTGGATTAATATTGTGCCTTCCATGATGCAGAATAATCAAGGCAAGTTACAGAACACTGCTGAGTTTATATCAAAATAAACAGAAGATGTAACCTTGGTTTATAATGAACATCCAAATTACCATGTACAATTTGCAGTAGACTCTGTAATGAGCTTGATATATAAGATAGATGACAGTGAAGGGGGAAAAAATAGTTTAAACTATCAAGTTTCCTCTTGAAATGTCTTTTCCCAAGGCACTGTGAACAAGACTGTTAGCAATTCTCAATGACTAAAAACACCAATGGGAATATAAATATTTCACACAACAACCACCGTCACATCATCATCTATTCTCTTACTCTTCCCCTTAAACAACGCCCCTGAAATTTGTTTGGTCCTTTGAGGGGGGTAAAAATCAAATTATCTTCTGCAACATCACGTATTTGCATTTAATACATCTATAAATCAAAGCTTTGTTAGATTATTTAACCCTTTCGCTGTAAAAACTAAAGATTTTTTTTTCCTCACTATTTCTGAACGAATCTGCAAATTCATTTTTGATTATTAAACCAAAAAAAAAAAAAAAAAGAGAAGAAAGGGTTCAAAATCAAGCAAAGCCCTGTATTTTTTTCAAGAGGAAACCATGCAAGAGTACATAAAAAGGCAAAATTGGCTACTTGAAAACCAAGAATTGTTTTTAATGCATTGGCCAAGGAAAATAAATTGCAAAGTTCTGTGAGGTTTTCTAAAAATTTACAAGAAAAACTGATGGGCAGTTCTAGTCAATCCAGATGTTCTTTTATCCTGTTTTAAATGACAACAAATACAGTCTCACACAATACAATTTCATCTTGACTGCAAGAGACACTCCTGTGTGATGCCTTCAGCATGACAAAAAAAAATCACTGGGCAAAAAAGAAAACTTGGCATTCATTTCTTCAAGGGCTGATAAACAGAGGCATTGGGATCGAGTCCGGAAGGGCTGGTCTCCACAAATTTGGAAGAGTAATGTGGGGAAACAGGACTCAGAGTGCTGGTGGCTGCAGTGTATGTTATGCTGGGCATTACTGCCATAACTTCTGCAATCTTCTGTTTTAGGTCCTTGATTTCCTGATCTTTTTGAATGATTTGCCCTGAAAACAGCAAATGACATCACTTAGAACCAGCGGCGGTTTTCACCCCCCCCACACACACACCAAAAGTGTTCAGTGGTCGAGCTGGTGAAGTTCTTGGTCATGGCATCAAAGCACAGCCTGTGTAGCTCCTGGTTGTGCTGAGGAGCTGTGTTTAATTATCCCTCATTGCCCCACGACATAACTGAACACAGCTCTGCCATTATAATCTCGCATTGTTTGGATTCACGGCTGCACCGGATCCAAAGATTATTTCCATGCCTCGACAATTTTCTGCACTTTCCCATTCACATTTTTCCAAAGTCCTCACAAAAGCACAAGTATTTGCTTATTGAACGTGTTATTTATTTTCAAAACTGTCCGATTCCCGTCATTTTTCTAAACCCCCCTTTCGTGCATGCTCTCAACATCACTGCAGCAATTTATGAAACCAGGGAAAGAATAACAGCACTGAAACGAAACAAAACAATTTCTCACTCTAATCAAATTTCCCTGCAATCAAACAAAACTTCTACAGGGAAATTAAACGGCTGTTAAATCAAAAGGTTATTTAATTTTGCTCCAAGGTTTGCCCAGCTGCACCAAGGCCGGGCTGGGCAGGGTTTTATGCTGGTTTCCTGCTCCCCCTGGCGGCATCACCACGTTTAAAACAGGTTATTCCCCCCTCCAATTTAGGTTTTATGTACTTCACGAGTCATAAAATATTATTATTAGGATTCAAAGACAACAACTTAATAGATGGTAACTATTATTTTAGCTCTTAAAAGAGAGAGCTCTTCTAGCTCTTTAAGAGACCTCCAGCTTTACGTAATGGTTTATAAAAATGTAGAAAACAATAATAAATTAACTCAAAACACCCATCTTTACATTTGTTGTCAGTTTGATAGCTGGGGGGAAGGAGGTCAGGTGGCTTAGGCTCACCCCCCCAAAGCTGTGGAAGCTGAAATGCTCAGTGGGGGCCACATCCCACCCACCCCGAAACACTTCCATGATTTTTCTCTGCTCTCGTGTTGGATTTAACCCTCCATCGTTACCTTGGGCAATCTCAAGCTGCCTTTTTGCATCTCCTAATGCAGAGAACAGATCCAGCTTGATCCTGGTCTCTGCACTCAGGCTGTTCTCTAAGTGCTGTGTTTTATCCTGCATGGCTGAAAGTGCTGACATTAACACCTCCGTATCCTTCTCGTTTTCCTTGTACTTCCTCAGCTCCTGCAGGAATAATCAGGACAAATGTTATCCTCGCTCCCTTTACACATGGGATAGGCTGAGAAGCCTTCTGCCTTCCCCACAGTGGGCCTGGCATTAATAGTGTAAAATTAAAATGCTGGTTAATTAAGGACACTGTAATATTACCTCCAGTAATTACACGTGGCCATCAAACAAGTGATTAAAGCCATAATGAACGAGGCATAATTACAGTGCAGTGAGCACCAGTTACTCTGTTCCTCAGCCCTCCATCAGTCACAGGAAGACCCTCCACCCAAAACCCCCAAAAAAATCACTTCCAAGTGCCAGCTGAGCCTGCCACACAGCCCTCTCAGCCAAGGGATGTGGGATGTGGAAACACTTCCCACAAGCAAAATGGCTGGAATCACAGACTCAGAAAGGCTGGAAAAGACATTTAATAACACCCAGTCCAGCTGTCAACCCAGCACCACCACGTTCACCATGTCCCCAAGTGCCACATCCACGTGGTTTTTGAGCATTTCCAGGGATGGTGACTCTACTATACACAGAAATGTTCTATATGAATGTTCTAAATGAAGAAACAATAATGCAAAGGGGAAAATATTAATGCCTGCAACAAAAGGCTTCTCTAATAGTTTGAGGGTGCTAATAAGATTTAAAAGCTTAATTATAGCTGGTTTTAATTGTTTGAAAGCCACGCTCGTCCTCTCCACGGATAAACCACCCTTGTTTTCAAGGGTTTGGTAAACACAGGAACAACAAGGCTGCATATGTTGTTTGGAAACAAGTTCACGATAACACCAGGTGGATTTTGAAGAGACATTAAAAATACATATTCATGCAAATTGTCAGTTGACAGTCCGAGGACATCTTTAGGAACAGACATTTGAAAGGAATAAGGTCAACCCCAACTCACACATCTGAGCTCTTACACTCTTAACATGCCAGACACTGTCTCTGCTAC